CCACCCGGCGAGGCCCGCACCGCCCCTTCCTCGTTCCTGGGACCTTCCTTTGTCCCAACCCCACCCTCGCCGCGCCTCGGGGCCGGGTCCTCCTTCTCCCATCGGTCCGGACCCCCTGAGTCGGCCCCCTCTGCATGCCCACTTTGCCTTACCCCCCGCCCCGTGTTAGCGTGGCCCCCTTTGCCAAGCCAGGCCTGGGCCTGACCCCCCTCCTCCGTCAGGACCCCTGTTAGCCCCTCTCTGGCCGCTTAGCTGTCCCTCTGCCGGGTCAGGGCCCTTCCATCTGGACCCCCCCACCCCGAGTCGGGACCCGGGAGCAGCCTCCCCTCTCTGCACACCCGCTTACCCCCCGCCAATGTTAGTTAGCATCTCCCCTCTGCCAAGCCAGGCCTGGGCCTGACCACCCCCTCCTCTATCGGGACCCCCTGTTAAGCCCCCGTTAAGCCCCCCTCCATCTGAACGCCCGCCACTGGGAGGTGGGCCCTGGACAGCCTCCCCACTCTGCCCTCTGTGAGCTGCCCCTCTCTGGGTTGCTCCCCTGGGTCAGGGCCCCTCCGCCGCCCCCCTCCCCAGTCCGGGGGGCTCCGGGCAGCCTCCCCTCTCTGCACGCGGGCTTAGGCCCTCCCGTGTCTGCCCCGTCTGGTGGTTAGGCAGGGAGGTCAGCCCTCCCATGTCTGCGCCTCTCTCATGATTAGGCAGGGAGGTCAGCCCTCCGATGTCTCCCCCCTCTCGTGGTTAAGCAGGGAGGTCAGCCCTCCCATGCCTGGGCCTTTCTGGTGGTTAGACAGGGAGGTCTTCCCTCCCTTGGCCAGGTGTCCCCCTCCAGGTTGTCCCCAGGGTCAGGGCTGTCCTGCTGCCTGGCACCTGAGCTTGCTCTAACATCCCTGTGCCCGGCCGGGGCTGGACTCTGGTGATCCAGGGGTGGGGCCTGGGAGTCTAGGGGGGAAGGGGCGCCAGCCACAGGAGGTAGACCCCAGGCCACTGAGCCACCAGAGCCAGGTTCAGATCCTGCGGGCTCTGCCCTCTCCCCTCCATGACCTTGAGCCGGTCCCTACCCCTCGGTGCCCAGGACCCCCTCCCCCACCCCTCCTCGCATGAAGTTGGGCTGGGATTTCAGTGGTGCCGTGCTGGGGACTGCCATGGACTTGGGGTTCATTGAGAGGGGCTGCTTGTCAGGGATCCCAGCGTCCCAGGCCCCAGGGGGGTAGCCCCAGGAAGGCACCCATGCTGACAGGGGCCAGAGCCCTGCCATGGGTCCGATGGCCAACAGGAAGTGGCCAGAGCTAGGCAAGGCCACCCGAGGTCCCCGGTCCAGACACGGCAGGGTCTGGCTGGACACCCAGAGAAGGCCTAGGACTGCAGAGCTAGGACCCTGGACCCCTCCCCAGCCTCCGTCCAGTGCTGACCATTGCTGTTCATGCACCTGCTGTGCTTGCCAGCCAGTTAAGTGAGTTAGCCTTGGTGCAAGCCCGGAGAACCTCGCAGGGCGCAGAGTTAGTGGGGTAGATGTGAGCTGTTACTTTGGTATATTTTCCATATGGCTGGAACTCTGACAGCCAAGACCTGCCTTCACATCCAGGTACCAGCCTGGCGCTTCACACCTGGGCCGTTGTCACTGTGATAGTAATTACTTTTGTTCATCTTTACTGAGGAGGCCCTGGGTGGCGCACATGCTGAATGCACTCGGCTGCTAACCGGAAGGTCGGAGGTTCGAGTCCACCCAGAGGTACCTCCGAAAGAAAGGCCTGGGGAGCTACTTCCGAAAAATCAACCGTTGAAAACCCTTTGGAGCACAGCTCTCCTCTGACCCACATGAGGTCGCCGTGAGTCGGGAGCGACTCAATGGCAACTGGTTTGATCTTCACCAAGGGCTCCCTGAGTGCTGGGCACTGTCCTGAGGGCTTTGTGTGTGTCGTCCTGTTCCTTGTCCCAGCAACCGTATGAAGCAGGCATTGTCATTGCTCCCATTTCACGGATGAGAAAACTGAGGGTGACTGAATTTACCTCACCCTGGCTCACGCCACAAGGTTCACACCATCAGCTTTTGTCCAAGTCTGGAACAATCCTCTCCCCCAGCTTCACCTTCACACACATACCTGAGGGAGGTAACCTGTCCAGGGTGTGCAGAGAGAGGTGGCGGCCAAGGGAGGTATAAACTCCAGTCTGCTCTCTCCCTCTGGAGATGCCAGGTCTTAACCCCTTGCTGCCCAAGGTTCTTCCCCCGCACTCATTCTTTCAGGAATCAGTGTTGCTTTGTGACCTGCCTTGGCCACTAGCCCTCTCTGAGCCCAGGAGAAGGGAGAGATGATAAGAGGACCCCACCACCCAGGGAGTTCTATTCCTGTAGATACGCTAGACCTGAACGGGGGCAGGGGCCCAGGCCCTGCCAGACTCGGCACTGGGCTAGACCCGAACGGGGGCAGGGGGCCAGGCCCTGCGGGACTCGGCACTGGGCAGAGTTTAACCAGCTGGCATTTCGGTTTGTGAGTTTTGTTGTCTTCTCCCTGACACGGGCAGCAATTTCCTGGTTCCCAGCATCACACTTCTCCAAATTGTGTTTCTTGAACCCCAGCATCGGAGTCATATTTGGGGGGAGGGCGTGACTTAAAAATGCAAGTTCCCAGGCCTAACAGCCACCTGCCCCCTCAGGCCTGGGGGCCAAGGCCCCGGAACTGCATTGTAAGCGCGTCCCCGCTGCATTGCTGTGGCAAGGTTTAAGCCCCTCTGGCTGAGGTCTCTGGGCAGTACAGATGGTTTGCCCTCAGCTGCTAACCAAAAGGTTAGCAGTTCAAACCCACCAACCAGTGCCACGGAAGAAAGTCCTGGTGATCTGCTGCCATAAAGATCGTTGCTGTTGTGAGGTGCCGTCAAGTTGGTTCCAACTCATGGCGACCCCACGTACAACAGAATGAAATGCTCCTCGGTCCTGCGCCAGCCTCACGATTGTTTCTATGCTTGAGCCCATTGTTGCAGAAATTACAGCCAAGAAGATCCTATGGGGCAGATTCTACTCTGTTACATGGGGTCTTCACAGGTTGGAATCGACTCAACAACACCTGACAACAATCTCATAGGGCAGACCCCTGGGTGGCACAAACAGCGGGCACTCGATGACTAACTGACAGGTTGGCAGTTTGAACCCACCCAGTGGTGCCGCAGAGGATACCTGGCCATCTGCTTCTGTAAAGATGACACAGCCAAGAAAACCTTAGGGAGCAGTTCTGCTCTGTCTCTGGGGTTTGGTTTTGGCTAGGAGAGGGGCAGGGAGCTGGGGGTGGTTGGAGACTTCACTGCATTTCATCCACGCTCCTGACACTCCTTGGGAGATGGGGGCCAGATCCCATTGTACAGACGAGGAAACCTAGGCTCGGGCGGCCAGATGGCTTGCCCAGGTCACAGAGCCAGTCAGATGGGGAGTCGGGGACCGGAACCAGGCCTGCTGGCTCCCAGGAGCCCACGGCCACCTTGAAAGGGAGGAAGAGGGGGCACAGCCCGGGCGGAGAAGGAGTTAAGGCGAGTATTTGCTCTGTTGGCGCCTCTCATGCCTCTTCCAGCCCCGAGTCCTTTGGGAATATTCGAGCTCAGGCCTCAGCTTTTTTGGGGGGGCAAGCAAAGGGGGCTGGCTCTGAGCCTACTCGCACGCCGGGCAGGGCAGATTTGCCAAGTCAGCAATGCCTGCCAAAAGGGCCTTCCCGTCCTCCCCTCAAACACCACCTCCTCCAAGAAGCCCTCCCTGCTACCTCCCAGGCCACTAGCTGTCCCTGCCCCTGGCTGAGTGGCCTTCTGCTCTGACATTCCTCTCCGTACAGGGTCGCTTTGGGGTTCTAGCAGCTGGCCCCCGCCCCGCGCCCCCCGGGCCCCGTGGAAGATGCCGGAGCAAAGCAACGACTACCGCGTGGTGGTGTTTGGGGCGGGCGGCGTGGGCAAGAGCTCGCTGGTGCTGCGCTTCGTGAAGGGCACCTTCCGGGACACCTACATCCCCACCATCGAGGACACGTACCGGCAGGTGATCAGCTGCGACAAGAGCGTGTGCACCCTGCAGATCACTGACACCACGGGAAGCCACCAGTTCCCGGCCATGCAGCGCCTGTCCATCTCCAAGGGCCACGCCTTCATCCTGGTGTTCTCCGTGACCAGCAAGCAGTCACTGGAGGAGCTGGGCCCCATCTACAAGCTCATTGTGCAGATCAAGGGCAGCGTAGAGGACATCCCCGTCATGCTGGTGGGCAACAAGTGTGACGAGACGCAGCGTGAGGTGGACACCCGGGAGGCCCAGGCGGTGGCGCAGGAGTGGAAGTGCGCCTTCATGGAGACCTCGGCCAAGATGAACTACAATGTGAAGGAGCTGTTCCAGGAGCTGCTCACGCTGGAGACGCGTCGCAACATGAGCCTCAGCGTCGACGGCAAGCGTTCCGGCAAGCAGAAGAGGACAGACCGCATCAAGGGCAAGTGCGTCCTCATGTGAGCCGCCGCCTGCCGCCGGCCCCGACGCGCTCCTCCTCTGTCCCCTCTGTCCTTCCTCCCGCCCTTGGCCAGCTTCGCAGGCAGCCGGGGAAACCGAGGCTCCTCCTTCCTCCCCCTCTTGCCCGTCCCTCCGTTCTGTCTGTACCCCCAAAGCCAAGTGCCGGAGGGGGGCCCCCGCTTCTTCTGCAGATGACAAAACGGGGAGTCAGGATATGACTCAGGGGAGCCCTGGTGGCGCAGTGGTTAAGCACGCGGCTGCCAACCACAAGGTCTGCTGGTTCGAACCCACCCAGCGGCTCTGCGGGAGAAAGACCTGGCAATCTGCTTCCGTAAAGATCACAGCTTAGGAAACCCTCTGGGGCACTTCTGCTCTGTCACAGGGGGGTGCTGTGAGTTGAAAATGGAGTCGATTGGCACCCAACAAATGAGAATGTGACTCGGAGTGTGCCCCGTCGGGAGCGGAGGAGGCCCCGTGTTCGCCATCTCTGTCTCCTCCCCTTTGGCGTCCCTCCAGCCTGCACCCCGCCCCCCACATCTGATCACTGTGACTTTGGGGGGCGGAGGGCGGAGCCAAAATGCACAGCAACCTCAGAGTTTTTTCTCTCTCCTATTTCGTGTTTAACATAGACCCCGTTCCCTGGTGACCTCCGGCCTGTGCCCCCGCCCCAGGTCCCCGGCCACCCTCTTGCGCCTGTTCTCACTGTGGGGAGGGGGCTGCAGGCCTCCAGGCAATAACAACAAGGCCTGCAGCAGCGCCCCGCCTGCCCGGTGTGGAGGCAGAGGGCCTGGACCGCGGACAGTCAGAGCAGAACTCTGAGGACTCTCGGGGAGGCCCGGCGGACCCAGGCGTGTGTGCGAGGGGGGCTCCCCGACACCGCCCCCCACTTGGGGGGATGCAACCCTCTCGTACACCTCTCAGGCTAGCCGGGACAGAGATGTTGGCACGATGCATGATCACTGACCCCCACTTAGGAGTTCTGGGTGCTGGGGAGGGGGTGCCCATGGCCCGGCCCGAGACACCGGCCGAGCCCCAGTCCGATGCAGGTGAGGGACCAGCACCTCTGGCATCCAAGGGGCTCCAGGAAGAAGTCTGCCTGGCCTGCTCCCCCTGCCCTGGGGTCTCGCATCCTGAGGGGTCCTTGCAGAGCCAGTGTGGTGTGTCCTAGAATTGGGGCGTGTCTGCCACCCGGAGGTTCTAGGTGTTTCTGTGAGAATGTCTGGATAACCACGCACGCGTGTGTACTGTGACTACAGGACAGTGTATTTGTGTGACTTGGTCTGTTCAGGGGCGGGTGACTTGTATTTAAATGTGTGTGTGGGGGTGTGTGTGTGTACTTGCATCTCTGTGTGTGTCTGTGTGTGCAGCGTGTGTGTGTGCGTGCACACTTGCATCTCTGTCAGGAGCCCTGGTAGGGCAGTGGTTAAGCACTCAGCTGCTAACTGAAAGGTCGGTGGTTCGAATCCACCCGCCCCTCCACAGGAGAAAGATGTGACAGTCTGCTTCCATAAAGATCACAGCCTGGGAAACCCCGTGGGGCGGTTCTGCTCCGTCCTCTAGGGTCGCTGTGAGTTGGAATCGACGCGCAGGCAGTGGGTTTGGTTTTTTTTTTTGGTTTGGTGTTCGTGTGTTTGTGTGTGTCTGTGTGTGCACCTGTGTGTCTGTGTATGTAGCGTATGTATGTGTCTGCGTGCGCCTGTGTGTATGTATGTGTGTCCGTGTGTATATGCATGTCTGTGTCCATGTATGTGTTCATACGTGTGTCTGTGTACATGCACATCAGTATGTGCAGTGTATGTGTGTCTCTGTGTGTACTTGTGTCTCTGTGCATACGTGTGCATGTTACGTGTGTGTTTTCATGTATGTGTCTGTGTGTGCATGAATGTCTGTGTGCCTGTATACTTGTGTCCGTGTGTGTTTCTCTGTGAGAGACCGCCTTCCATGTGGTACATTTTGGTGACAGTCTGTGCATGTTACAGTAGCCGTCAGATGTATGTGGGGGGGGGTCGTGTGAGTTCATATGTGTGATTGTCCGCGGGACTGCACATGTGCGATGTATCGGTGTGAATCTTTGTGCCTGTGTGAGGGTGACTATAAATGGCTGTGTGGATTTTGGGGAGCGGATGACATGCTTTGTTTGAGAGCATTTGTTTGTTCTGAATGTCCGAGGAACACCATGTCCGTTTGACTCTGGTGCAGTGGCTCTCTGCTCGAAACCTGTATTAGTCAGCTCTTGCTGAGTAACAAATTACTGCCAACTTAGCCACATGGAACAACATCTCGCAGTTTCTATGGGTCAGGATTCTGGGCATGGCTGAGCTGGGTCACTCACACAGGGCCTCACAACGCTACAGTCAAAATACTGGCTGGGCCACGTTCTCATCTGAAGGCCCGACTGGGGTGGAATCCACCTCCAAGCTCCTGTGGTTGTCGGCAGCATTTAGTTCCTTGGAGTTGCAAGTCTGAGGACCCCAGTTCCTTGCTGGCTGTTGGTTGGAGGCTAACCTCAGTTCCCTGCCATGTGGGCCCCTCCATATGGCAGCTCACAACATGGCAGCCGGCTTCTTCCAAGCCAGCAAGGGAGAGAGAGTCTCCTAGCAGGATGAGGTTGCAATCTTGTTGGATGTGACAGTGTGTATGAGAAAGCTGTGTGTGTGTGCTTGCTGCACATGGGGGACTGTGATGGTGTGTGTGACTGTGTGGCTGAGTAGTCGTGTGACCCCCTGGGACTGTGTGTAAGTAAGAGGGACTGTGTGTGTCTGATTGGGGAAAGGTGTGTTTCTTTTTCTCTGTGTTTATGTGACCATTGATTCAGCAAATGTTTACTGAGCACGCGATGAGAGAGGGAGTGTGTGTGCCTGTGTGAGTGTGATGCCCAGTCATGGCGGAGTCCACTGAAGAGCCAGTAGTGTCCCGTCTGTGCAGAGCTGAGCCCCCTAACCTTTGGCTGGTCCAGGGCTCCCCAGCAGCTGCGGCTGCCCCCTCCCCACCCTGGCAGTGGTTCCTGGGCCTTGAAGGTGCTGGAGAGGGTGGGGCTGGGCAGGGGTCTGCGGCCCTTTCTCAGGGACACACCCTGATAGCACAATCTCCCTGGGGCCCCCCCACCTCAGGCCTCAGGCCTCTCCAGCCCCAGGCCCTGGCCTGCCCCTGGGGAGAGGAGATTTCACAACAGGAGGGGCAGAGCCCGCCTGGCCATAGCCCTTCCGCTTGGGCACACCTGGTGCTGGGATCGCTCCAGGCCTGCTTGCTGTGTCCCCACCTCCACCCTCTTCCCCCGCATGTGGGTGCCCCCGCCCCTGCCCCTGTCGTGGGGTCCATGTAGCATTCGCTCTAGAAGTAGTCTTCCTGCAATAAAGAAATGGATCCTACAGCCCTGCCAGCCCAGTGCCGTTTCTTTGGAGTGGGGAATGGGGGCCACCATGCCGCCTGCAAAGATGAGGGGCGGGAGGAGGGGGACATGCGGGATGGAGGGGGAGTGAGGAGGAGAAGAGAGATGAGGAAGTGAAGGGTGCGTGAAGCGAGGGAGGGGTGAGGATGGAGGAGGCGAAGGATGGGGAGTGAGAGGTGGAGAGGTGAGAGAGGCGGAGGTGAGCGACAGGAACGTGGGAGGTGAGGGGTAGGAGTGTGAGAGGGAGGGAAAGAAAGGGGAGTGGCAGGGACCTGAGGTGATGCTGTAGCAGCCTGGGCTCCGGAGCTTCAGACTGGACTCGGCTCCGCATTAGCCCCCGTGGCGCTGGCCCAGGCTCCTCTCCTGGACCTCAGTTTCCCTGTTGACTCCACGCACATTACTTGGGGGCGTCCTCCCAGCCTGAACTTGCTGTGAACTTGGGCAGTCTCCCTGCAGGGCCCAGCACAGGGGACTGGAGGGAGTGTGTGTAGGGGGTGCGGCTTCCTCCTTGTCTCCATCCCTCCCCCACCCTGTGTGCCTGACCAGGTGTACTGGAGGGGGGTCTCATCTGCCACCCCAGCCTCCACCCCACCCGCCCAGACCAGGAGGACCAGGGCAGGGGTCTCAGAGCCAGGGCATAAGGCCTAATTGGGGGACAGACTGAGGAGGAAAACCTAAAACAACAGTCATTCATTAATTTGTTCATTTATTCATTCAATTTTCATTCATTAGTTCATTAATTCATTTTGATTAATCTCATTAATTTGTTCATTTCTCGTGTGTTCATTAGTTCATTCATTCTTCATTTACCTAGTCATTCATTTGTTCATTTAGTTATTCAGTTTTTATTCATTCACTTATTCATCACTTGTTCATTATTTTAGTCATTCATTAGTTCACTAGTTCATTTTTCACTCATCTGTTAATTTGTTCGTTCATTTGTTCTTCGTTCACCCAGTACGTAACAGGTACCCACTATGCACCTGGCCCCCTCCAGAAGCTGGGGACACAGGGATGACCGACACAAAGGCCAGTGCCTTTACCCTCACAGAGCTCATAGCCTACTGGGGGAGACAATCCCTCCACAAAAAACTGAATCATCATTTCAGGCATGTGCCCCTTGAAGTGACGTGGGTGAGAGTCCGGGTGGCTGTGGAAGCCCATCTGACCCAGGAGGTGAGTGGCCACCAGCTCCAAGAGGATCTGGGACAGGAACACCAGGCAGCGGAAACAGCACGTGCAAAGGTCCTGGGGCAGGAGCTGTTTGAGACCAGAGTCTCAGGAGTGGAGTGAGAGAGGGGTGGATGGTAGCCGATGAGGTCAGAGAGGTCAGCAGGGGCCAAACAGGGCCTAGTGGGCCATGGGAAGCGTTTGGACATTAATAATGAGGGCACTGGGGCATCATGAGAACATTCAAAGCTTCCCAGAAGCCCTGTGGCCCTCACAAAAGAACTCACGGGGTGCCCCTGGGCCCTGTACTTATTGCAGCCAGTTGATGGGAGCAGGTAGGCACTAAGCACCCCATTTTACAAGGAGAGGAACCCACAACGCCTCAGTTTCCCCATCTGTACAACTGTGAGTGTGTGATTTGGTCCCTGGAGTCAGGGTAGGGTAGTGG